TCTGAGAGCCATCCGGAACGCTCTGGAACGGATTTTTACCTCGTTTCTAGGCTCTCGTCCGACGATGCCAAGGTTACCGTGAGCGAGTCAGCTGCGTGCAGCTGGCTTTCCCCATGCCCGGAGGCACCGGGAAGACCTCGCGCGTGTGCGGGAGTGTGCTCCGCGGCCCGGCCGTAAGCAGCCGCGCGCAGCAGCCTTCGCATACCTTAAGGCGAGGCCAGGACCGGGACAGCATCGGACAGGGACGGATCCAGGTCACCTGAAGACGACGCCAGGTCACCTCAGCGGGTTGCCCCTGCCTGCAGCTCTGGGAGAGTAGTGAAACTCAGCCGCGGGGTGCTGGCGCGCGGCACCCGCCCCCTCCAGCGCAACCAGACGAAGAAAAGCGCGAGAGCCCAGATTGTAAATGTAAGGCAGCATCGCTCTAGTAGTAATTGTACTAGGGAGTTGCGCTAGCATTACTTGCACGCTGCTGTGCGTCCTATGTCCGAGATCGGCATTATCTACTGTTTCCTTATTCCTCAATCGCGATTCTGCTCTGCTTCCGTACTCCCACGTCTCGATCCTATCGTGTGACATTATTCCTATGTCACGAGTCGATACTGTTTCCTTTAATGCCCCAATCGCAATTCGAGAGGCTCTAGATGTACTGCAGGACCAGGTGCACTCTAGGAGCAGATGCGCGCTAGCACATGATGGTATCAGCTGTACTCAAATACTAGGTGCACTCTAGCTGGAAGGGGTCAGGGGTTCCAATGGCAATGCGCGCGCGGAAGAAGGAACAAAAATCCATGCGCCGCCAGGGGTCCCAAGTTTAGCGGGTCGCCGAGACGGTGGACCCCCACAGAGGGAAGAAAAGAAATTCGACCGGGCGGGCTGGGGGGTTCAGGCAGGAGTCGCGGGGGCGATGCCAGGACGAGGATAACATCGGGCGAGGGTAAGTCGGGAACTTCTGAGATCCACGGGCTCTGGAAAATGTCTCGGGCGCCGCCGCCTTCTCGGAGCGGTCCGTAACGCTCTGAGAGCGTTCCAGAATGCTCTGGAACGGATTTATCCAAGCCCTCGCGTCGTCCGGCACCTAACTTCGCGCATCGCGCCCCGCGATGCGCGACGCGCGGAAATCTTCGCGCCCTCGCGAGATCACCTTGAAGAAGGGCAGCTCTCTAGCCCAGGCCGCGACGCGCGAATCGCGAGTATCTTCGCGCCCCTGGGGGTGACGTAGACGAATCGGGAAATCACTGAGATTCGGCGGTTCTGGAGGATTTATGGGGCGCCGCGCCCTTCTCAGAGCGTTCCAGAACGCTCCAGGAGCGTTCTGGAACGCTCTGGAGCAATTTATCCCTGTCCCAGCCCCGCCCGACACCCCCCTTTCCTTCTTCCCTCTCCCCCTCCGTCCTCCCCGACCGCAGCAGCAGCAGCAGCAGCAGCAGCAGCAGCAGCAGCAGCGCTGGCCGCAGAGGACTCGGACGGCCCCGACACGTCCTCGCGGCTGGCGGTGCCACCGCCGGGGCCCATGGCCGCACGCCAGGCCTGGGGGGGGGCGGGGGCCACACCGGTGTCGATGACATGCCGCCGTGGGGAACCCACCAGCGCGATGCAGCAGCCACGTACAGCAGGAAACCTTGTTCCAAGAAATCTCGGGGCACACTCTCTGTCGACCTTGGAGGGTGCAAAGGTGCCTCAGAACTTCTGTGGGTCCATGGGGCAACTGGGGAAACAATTGAAGTTTCCGAGAAACACCTGCTGGCAGGCCGACTTCTTATTTGATGTGCCGACTGTATTGTTGAAGAAGCACCACGCACAAGTGAAGGAGTGACACTCTGACGGGCTCCCAACGCGGGCGTGCCATTGGTGCCCATTCTTCCCCGGGAAGCCTGGATGGGCCTTCCACTCCCGCAGCAGCAGCGCCAGCTGCTGGGGGCCCTGACGGGAAGTGGAATGAATGATGTGGGGGAACCAACGCAGGGGGGGGGGGGGAAACATTGAGCTGGGATCGGCGATGCATCGCCGATTGATCGGCCACAGGCCCCCGATAGCGAAACGGCACGCTCCTAGGCGGGGCGGGTTATCCTGCCCCTATCGGCTAACGTTGCCACCCTGGCTTTCGGGCCAAGGCTCGGCTCTCCGGCGGCCGTTCGAGACGATTCGGGCGCGCCTGGAACGCTCTCGGTGAGGCGCAGTCGCTGGACCGCATCCCGAGGCTGGAAAACAGCTGAGATTCGAAGAACACGTCCGAACATCTCGAGCCTCGAACGCCCTGAGAGCCTATCCCCCCAGGGGTCCAAGATCGATCGCTGGACCTCTCCTGGGCTGCGTTCCGACCGGGATGTCGAGACGGGCCCAGCCGTGGCCACGAGGGCGCCCCGGGAAGATCAGACACCTCCGGAAAGCGAACCTCGAAGCTCGAACCTCCGAGCCCATCCTCCCCCTGGCGCTGCCCCGGAGGACTGCCCCAGCGAGGCGCCTCCTCGCGGCCGGCGGAGCTGCCGCCGCCGCCCAT